TGTGTTTGTGTGTGGTGTGTGTGTTTTAATCCATTCTCTTGTCAGATAAAGGAATAAAAATACGAATGACTTTAAGGTCACACAATTATGACTGGTTGCTAATGTATTGTTACCCTCAGTGAAATTACTGCCTACATATTTTAGAAATTCCCCCCTTTTATTGCAGGCCTCTTTGTGTTCCTTGGCACATTGCTCATGGCCAACGCTTCTGTCGCTGCATCGCGTATCCTTCATTCAAGGCTGCTTAACAACATTTTGCGAGTTCCCATGGTGTTCTTTGATACTACACCAATTGGAAGAGTGGTCAACCGCTTTGCAAAGGTACGAAAAATAGAGATAGGTGACTGGATTGTTTTAGAATGCTATGGGTCACTTGAAAGACCTTAGTTACTTTTAATAAAGACTTTTCTCTGACACTGGTCCCACAGGACATTTTCACAGTAGATGAAGCCATTCCTCAATCCATTCGTTCCTGGCTCATGTGTCTGCTGGGTGTACTGGCGACGCTGTTTGTCATCTGTCTGGCCACCCCTTTGTTCATTATCATCATCATTCCTCTGGCCGTGGTCTACTACTTTGTACAAGTAAGATGACCAAGAAAGAACAAAGAAACATTAAGAGTAAAAAGAGATGTACATATATTTTTTTAAACTAGCAGTTAACATTGCCAACAATGAGTTTGAAAGAAAGGCTTGTTCCTATTGTAGAAGCTTCACTTAAGCCTTCCACTGTTTGTTACTGATTTCTCTTGCCCTGTCTCTACACTTAGCGCTTCTATGTCGCCACTTCAAGACAACTGCGTCGGCTGGATTCAGTGTCTCGTTCCCCCATATACTCTCACTTTGGGGAGACGGTGTCAGGACTGTCAGTGATAAGAGCCTACGGCCATCAAGAAAGATTTCTGAAACACAATGAAATAACTATGGATGAAAACATCAAGAGCGTCTACCCATGGATAGTGTCAAACAGGTCAGAAACTGAACACCAAGTGCACCTGCAAACTCAAATCAACAACAAATCCAAGCACATTGTTTTTCTAATGGCGTTTTCAGTGTGTTGGAAAATAATGACATACTTAAATTTGTATGCATATTTAGGTGTTTCAATGTGTGTTGCTTTACGCTGCAGGTGGTTAGCCATCCGTCTGGAGTTCCTGGGAAACCTGGTGGTGTTTTTCTCTGCTCTGTTTGCTGTTATTTCCAGACACGATCTAGACAGCGGCTTGGTCGGCCTGTCTATATCCTACGCCCTAAATGTCAGCCACTGATAGACTCATGATCTCACTATTAACATTACTGATTACATTAATAATGTTGATGATTCCTGTGGTAATAATAAGGTAAAATAATGCTAACAATGTAAACACAGTCCTCTCCCTTGCTGGTGCTTTGCAGGTAACCCAGACTCTCAACTGGCTGGTGAGGATGACCTCAGAGCTGGAGACCAATATTGTAGCTGTAGAGAGAGTGAGTGAATATGCCGAGTTAAAGAACGAGGTATGTTGAGTCACTGAACCCCTAAATCACTTTGATTGTGCACATTTTTATTTTTCCTTTCAGACCTGAGACCTTTCATTTTTGAAATAAATGTGATTTTTTGACTTTGAAAATGTGGCTTCAGATTTTTTTTATCTGTTTGTCTTGTGTTTATAATATTTTCTCATTCAAGTAGCACATTCCACAACTTTTCCATTACACATCTATTCTTGTGTGTCCGTTTCTACAGGCTGAATGGGTAACTGACACACGGCCTCCAGAGAAGTGGCCAGAGGCAGGAAGGTTGCAGTTTGAAAACTACAAGGTCCGTTACAGACCTGAATTAGACCTTGTGTTGCATGGAATCACCTGTGACATCAGCAGCACTGAGAAGGTGTGTATGCATGTCTGTATATGTGTCAGTGTGTGCACAAGCATTTAGATTTGAGTGTCTGCTTACAACCCCAAATCAGAAAAAGTTGGGATGGTATGTAAAATCAAAATTAAAACTGTAAACAGTGATTTGTAAATCATCTGTGCCCTGTATTACATTGAAAACAACACAGCAGCACATTATTTGATACATCTTCAATTTTATTCTTTGTTCGAAACAAACACTCATTTCAATTCTGATGCCTACAACACATTCCAAAAAAAAAAAAAGGTTGCGACAGTTGCATTTCAGGGCTAGTGATGAGGTAAAACATTTGAAACAGCTGATGTAATCAGGTGACTGCAATCATGATTTGGTACAAAAGTGGCACCCAGGAAAGGCAGAGCCCTTTAGGAGCAAAGATGGGCCGAGGATCGCCAGTTTGCCAGCATATGCATGAGAAAATTATTGAGATGTTCCTCAAAGAAAGAGGAACGGTGCACAATATAATTAAAAGATTCAAGGAATCTGGAGGGTGAACGTGTTCTCTGATCCCTGAAAAGATGTCATTCAGTGTGTTTTGCTTTATGTGCTCTCGCTCTCTCTCTCTCTCTCTCGCTGCAGATTGGCATAGTGGGCCGCACAGGAGCAGGAAAATCAAGCCTGACAAACTGTCTGTTTAGAATTATTGAAGCTGCTGAAGGACGCATCCTCATTGATAATGTAGATATCGCCACAATAGGCCTGCATGACCTGAGAAACGGGCTCACGATCATACCACAGGTATATACATATATTTATTTTAAAAAATGTACCTAACCCACACAAAGCCATCAGTTTTAAATGGCACACTGACCTATCCAAACATCCGTGGCAGGATCCTGTGGTGTTCTCTGGGACCTTGAGAATGAACCTGGATCCATTTGACAAATTCAGTGATGAAGAGATCTGGACAGTACTGGAGCTCTCCCATCTGAAGGACTATGTGGCAGGGCTGGATAAAAAATTACAACATGAAGTTGCAGAAGGGGGAGAGAACCTCAGGTAATTACCCTTTGACCTTCAGGTACACGAATCATTTAATACATTAAAATCAAATCTAATCTGTTTAGTAATGAAGTAGATGAGTTGGACTCTGCTCTGCTTAATTGCTTATTACAAAACCTATGCATTTGATGTTGCTTTGTCTGCCACAATTAAACATTGTTCAGGCCTTGTTAAAAGGCACCGGTATATTTTCTGTTCACAATCATGTTTGCAACAAATGAACTGTCAGTCTGGTGATCTCCAGCATCCTCAGATAATTATCTTGTGGTGAGTGTTTTGCACAGTGTAAGCCTCACAGAGTTTCAGTACGCGCCACACACATACTGTAGCTCAGGTGTTTACTCCAGCAGGTTCTAAAATATCCTACATCAGGGCAAAACCCTTAAGTGTCTCAAGCACTAATGAGCATCCATTTGTGGTTTATTTTCATCTCTGTGTGGCTCAGAAACTCTCTTTTAAGATATTAACAGATGCTACTCTCTTCTCAGCGTTGGGCAGAGACAGCTGCTGTGTCTGGCCCGGGCACTGCTGAGAAAGTCTCGTATTTTAATCCTGGATGAGGCCACAGCAGCCGTTGACCTGGAGACAGATGACCTGATTCAGACTACGATCCGTGAGGCGTTTTCCTCCTGTACTGTCCTCACTATTGCTCACCGCCTGCACACCATCATGGACAGCTCCAGGTGAGTTAGTGTCCTTTGAAAGGTTTTGTCGAGGTTTCTTCTCTCTGCATTTGTTTCAGTCATGCCAATAGCAGATGTCTTTCTTTATCCACACTTGTTTTGTTTTGTGTACAAGTGGCCTTCATAACTTGATCCATACCATCAACATTTTTATGCAGCTTTTTCACATGGGGTAATTCCCCTCAAATGTGAGCTCATTTGTTGACAAACCACAAAAAAATTAAACAAGTAAAGTTAATATATTACTCCCCTGCTCTGTCACACCCCCCCCTGACTTTTATGATGGTATTAAAAAATTCTGTTGGACAAAAACTGCAACAAACAACAAATACAGCATATATGTATGTGTTTTTTGAAAAAATCTCAATTCAAGTGTCACCTGTGACCATATCACTTGGTCTTTATCAGCAGATGACAGTGTTTTACATTATTCTGAGCAGCTGTAGGATTGATATAGTGTTGCCCAAATTGTGTGTATTGTTTTTGCCATTTCATATTTAACAATGCTCCATCCATCCATCCATTCATTTATCCATCCCCTGGTGGCCACTTGTTCCCTGGATCGTTGATCTATTTGGATCATGCAGGGAAGCGTCTTAGGCAGTTTGCCAGTCAGTGCTTTCCTTAAAATAATAAGTGTACTATACATTTCTCCTATATTTCCTCAGGTCTTGTTTGTTTATATTCACAAATACTGTATGTACACACCTAGTTTACTAGTTCTACCTGTGTTCCTCCTCCACAGGGTGATGGTGCTTGATGCTGGCAAAATAGTGGAATTTGATTCTCCAAGCAATCTGCTTGAGAAACAGGGCCATTTCTATGCCATGGCAAAGGATGCTGGAATAACAGGAAATGGCAACACAGCCCTTTAATTCTGCACCTTCACTTTTTTTTTTGAATTATTAAATTACATAAAATCTTTTTGTTGCTCCAGTTAAAAAGTTGAATTGTTTTTTGATGTAAAACATAATAATTGTTTATTGGAAACAGTGTAAAGAACTCATATTCTGTGTGTAAGCAGTTTTTATGTGTGTACAATAAATATTCTTAAATGTTTTTATGAAGTGACCTAACTCAGTTGTTTAAACCATTTGTGTCATATTGAACACTTGGTTGACTGTGTCATTAAGAGATAATTTGACCTAGTGTAACTTCATTGTTCATTGACACTTTTTACACACACTTTCAGACTGTTTTACATGTTAATGCAGCTGCCTCGATTAGGATTTTCTATTCTTTTGTGAATGAGTGTGGGTGTCGACAGAAAAGGAGATGGAGGAAGCAAGAGAGAGACAGTGAGTGAGAGAGTAGGAGTCAGTGACAGCCAAGGAGGACAACTAAGGAGGTCTTTTGTGCTGGTGAAGATAGCTGCTAGGTTTAATCCTTTATCACTTTTGACTCTTTAAGGTAAGTCTACACATTACAAATACAATACACCTTCAAATTTTAACTGTATAATAGTGGATGTTAAAAAAATAATTCTTTGCTGTTGCACTGATGCTGTTGGCTGTTTAACAGGTTGTTCAGCGTCTGTGCGTGTCAAATTTTAATTAGGCATTAGATTTTTAATAGATAATTATTGCAGTGTACTTCACATGCTGTGTCCTCTATAATTAGTTCATTTTCTCTGATGTTTTATTTTATCCTTATACAGTTGTTCTGGCAGTATATTCACATAAATTGAGCACTGATCGATAGTGTAAAGCTTCCCTCCTTCACCAGTGAGGAATTTAGGTTGCGTCATCTAAAATAGATTTAGATTTCTGTAAATTCAACATAAATCAGCATTATTTTTTGACAACTGAAGGTTAATTTACAATAATTGTAGTCTATAGCAATATATGAAACCCTATATGTTCAATAAAAGACAAATTAAATTAATATTTTAAAAATCCAATGCACCAATAAAAGCTGAATAATGAATTATATATATAAATAGTATTTCTTAGCAGCTGCAGATTTATCCCATTATTTTTCTTTGCTCTGAGCTAATTATCGAGAAGTCAGTCTGTTTAGAATGAGAAGATGCTGCAGGCACCACTCCTCCTCTTACTGGCACTGTTGAATGAGACAAACCAAATGTATGCAGAACCATGAAAACATTTGTATTGCAACACTAATTTTAAATGCATTTTCAGTTAAAGCAATGAAATATTTTTTTAGCATATCAGATGAACTGGGAAATTAAACCCATTATTTTTATTACATGTACTTCAGGTGTGGAATTTAAAGACTGTTTCTATTGAACATCCTTCTAGTTCTCAACCACCTGCCTACCATGAACCTCTCAGTGCAGATGTCATTCCTCTTAAGCTGTAATGTCAGCCCAAGTGAGATGCCACAACTCAGCATTGGTGTCACCAAAAGTGAGCCGCTGACAATTGCTGTACCCATGACCATCTTCTACAGCATCATCTTCCTGTTTGGAGTATGAGCCTTCGTTCTGTAGCATTAGGCCAAAATACTCATCATAGTGTTTTAATGATATGTTGAGAGCAAATAATATGCTTTTCACCTGGTGAACACCTGAATATACCTAATGCTCTGCAGGTCTTATTCAATGGTGTCAGCATGCTGACCCTGCTCATGGATGCTCATATGAGAGTTAGCGCCATCCGCTTCTACCTGCTCAGCTTGGTCATATCAGGTACACACTCCACGCCGCTCACTTCATGGAAGAGAAGTACTGACATGCTGGAAGTGGGAAATGGACAATTTGTCATTTCTTTTATTTGTGTAATACTTGGCAAAATTATAATCTAGCCAAGCTATTTTGATTTCCATGCTTTAAAATCTTTAATTATTCCACTAACAAAATTTTAGTGTAACCCTTCTATATTTATAAGGAAACTGCTGTAAGTGGGAAATGGACAATTTGTCATTTCCACTTTCAACTTGTCAAATGGCATTTGAAATTTAATTTTGTGTCTATGACTATCTTTAAAATACAAAAGTAATGCTAGTTTTCATTCCAGTTGTAATTATTCCTATAGATGTTTTTTATCACGTTAGAAAACACATTCAGTGAATTTGTATTGACAGGCCCTAATCAAAGCAAGTGTCTTTGATGCTTTATATTGTTTCACTATAAATATGGCAACATACTTTTCAGTACACTGAAAAGTATGCATCTTTTATTTTATGCAGTGAATGTATATTTCAAAGTCCAAAATGAAAACTGCAGATTCTTGCAATTTCACTTAAATTTAATTTTAGTTTTGACATACATCATGCAAATAGACTTCATTTTAATTTGAAAAAACAAAACAAAACAAGTATTTTATTTAATACTGTCAGTCCCATTCTTCAGCAGTCCCTTTTAAACACCATAGCTACAGTGTGGTGCCTATACATGGAACCATACTAAGTGTGGATTTTCAAGCTGATGTCCATCTTCTTCTCTCTCTTTAAACTTTAGATGTTCTGCAGTTGCTTACCATCCCGGTAACTTTGTATCGGTATTACTGGGAAAGCTACCCGTGGCGTCTGGGCCAAGCAGCATGTAAGGTCTACTTTATGGTCCGCCAAGTGTATTGTGCCACCACAAGCTGGGTAATTATGACCTTCACAACTGAGCGCTATGCAGCCATTTGCCACACCATGTGGTCTGTCTCCAGCCTGAAGGTTTGTACAACAGAGCACAAAAGTGCAATGTCTCCTCACAACAATGTTCTACGCAGTGACTATAACATAACAGGCAAAAAAGCTTAGGGAGGTTTGCTAATAAGGCCTACATTTACCCACAACACATCATTTAGAATAACATTCATGTTGGGTTTTGTTCCTAACTGAAGACAATTACTGTATTTGCCATCCAGCATTTAATATTCTGGAGGCAGTCAAGGATGGACTTCACTGAGCTGGGTACTGGCAGCATAATAAAAGGCTCTGGATCCCAGCCTTTTGCTTGAAATGGTTTAAGAGAATGCAATGATCAACCATATCAAAAGCCAAGATCTAAAAGAATTGAAAAAGCACATTTACAGCTGTGTAAGGGCAGCAGAGGGTTATTTGAGACTTTGAGAAGTGCAGATTCCATATTGTGACAAGCCTTAAAATAGGATTTAAATTTCTCAGTGATGTTATTATTGAGATATCAGAGGAGCTGAGTGTAGACAATGTTCTTCAGTACTTTGTATCAGAATGATGTAATGATGTATGCACATACCAGAGGTGCATATACTTACATAAGTCATATTTATTATTTCATAGAACTTTGTGAACAAACTTAACAAATATCCTCTCCCCTTTCTTTTAAACAGAAGTCTAGACTGCCATGTCTTCTCTTTGTATGGGTCATTTCTTTGGCTTCTGCAGTGCCCTTTGCTCTAGTATATGACCAGGCACGTGCCTGCATCCTGGACTACACAGCCACCACACAAGAAGATGCCTTCCATGTCTCCACTATGTGTGAGATGACAGAGCCTGATCCTGCACACATCTATAAAGGGGCTTTACTCCTCAGAGCAGGGTTCTTCTTTCTGGTGAGATAAGTGCCATACAACTGATTGTATGTGCTTATCTGCATCAAACACAGACACTCACCATACTTCTCCAACCACAGGTCCCGCTAGTCATCATCTTTACTCTCCATCTACTCATCTTGCTCTACCTAAAGAGGAACGGACGACAAAGAAGAAACATGGGTCTCACACGGCCAAATCCAGAAGGACGACGAGATATCCAGTGCCATCAAAATGGAAAACTACTTTTGAATGAAAAGAGAGCTCTAAAACTCATGGGTGAGCCATGGAAAAGTCTATAATATCTTTTGAGTTTATGGCATTTTAAATCTCCAAGGTATTTCTCCTAGTTGGATGAAGATCAAATGAAAGTCTTGAGTCTGATCACACCAGTGGGACACTGGATTTCATTAACATCCCTGCAAAGTAGAGATGCTGGAAACTTGAGAACTACTACCTGTGTGGGCATCTACAATGTGTCATTAAGAACTGCCATGATTTTATTGGGAAAAGAGTAAAATAGGCTTTTAAAATGATTGGATTTTGATGGACACTTACAAAAATTTAGCTTAATTCAGTGTGTTCTGTCTAATCAATAAAGAGAGACAGGTTGGGCTTCCACTGAGTTGTTAATGTTGCTCAGTATAAGGATCTCTCATACATTTTGATGCCTTGTTTTTAGGCCAAAGATGCTAATGAATGCAAATGAAATTCATTAACATGTTCTGGTAATTTAGGCTACATACAGTTACGCTAATAACATCTTCTGTGTTTTTGTTTTCCAGGTGTAGTTGTGGTGGCCTTTTTTGTTTGCAACTTCCCAGACATTGCCTCATCACTCATGCAGGTCTATGTGGTCGTGTGGTCTGACACCATCCTTTCGCTCTACACGATTCTGAAATCCTATTTGTCACTTCCCCTGTGGTATATCAATGGAGCTTTAGACCCACTGTTGTTTTGTATGTCCTCCCGCACATTTCGCACGGCGTGCTGTAGAACTCTGGGTCGGCTCAGGCCTCACTGTTACTGGAAGTATGGGAACATGTCTTGGCTGCAACCGAGAAGTTCTAGTGATGAAGCAAGCACGATAGCCAGAGAAAGGACTGACTCTAAATACAATAAAGAGAAGATGGACAAAAAGAGTAATCCAGTCACTGACAAACAAAGTCAGAGGGTAGACCTCTGAATCATGAGTGTTTTTGTCTCAGACTATTAAGGACTAGGACAATCCCAAATTATCACCCTGTCATAAAAAACTAAATATAGACTACTATCTTTATACAACTGAAATGAAATACAGTTCGGATAAATTTTGTTACTGCAGAAGTTACCACAAATGTGTTGTTTATGCTTTCTTTTACTGTTCATCTGGAAAGTCTGGACCATGTGCTGGCCATTCCATTATTTAAAGCTTATTATTTGCATCAGTTTTCAAGGCTTAATTTACTTCCACTGCTGCAGAATAGATAGATGTTAATCTATTACCTGATCCCTGAAAAGGACCCGTTTTGTATTAAATTAATACACATTTTGAGTTTTTGGTGACTTTATTTTGTTTTACATCTGGCAGTTTACTTTTTAGCTTTGTACCATATAAGGTTATTCACTGGATTTGAGCTGTTTAAAGCTGTTTGAAAAATGGGGGTGTTCTAAATCTATTGACCGGTAATGTACATGTATATTTGTGCTAATGCTCCCTATTTCCCTAATATTTTTCCTTTTATTGCCTTTAGACTATATCAGATATGAACTACACCTGATGCCATGTCCAATTTTGTAAATATTGTAAAATGTATTATTCCATCAGGTAACATTTCTTTCAAATACTTTGAGCTCGACCTATATGTTTAGTGCTTTACAGGTTCCATTACTGTGAAACATGTGAAGACATTCAATATTGGACATTGGTCATTTTTATATTAAGCATGATACCACATTTTTAAAATGACCCAACAAGTTACAGTACAATGCTGTAGTACCTATTATTTGTTGTTCTTATGCCGTTGACTTTGAATTACATGTTGTTAAATTATGAATGTACATGTGACATACACAGTATATTCACTTTCCAGTCCATAGAACACAAAGGATGGACAACATGGTTTGAAGATCTGTGGTCCTTGCAATAGCCTGTATTTGTCAAATAGCACCCCGAATGAGTCACAAACATGTTGCTTTCTGACAGTGTTGCTCGAAATAATGTGCTGTATTTTATTCTAGCAAAAAACTGCTTTGTGCTGATTGAATTTACAGCTATATTGGAAAAAAATTCTATACTTCTGTTAATCTTACTGTATTTTGTGTGTAAAATAAATATGATTTTGCCAAATATCTGACTCTGGCATGTAGAAATGTCTTTTTGTGTTGTCAAGACAACTAGCAAAAAGATACATGCAGCTTAGCTGAGACCAGGCCAATCAACCTAATGTAAAAGCATCTAACAGCTTTTCAAAGGGCAGCACGGTGGTGCAGTGGTGAATGAGCTTTTCAAATGAACCTGCTGCTGTGTAAAGTCCTATATTTAACACAAATCACACAGCAGGATTCAAGTGTTTTTTTTTCTCCTGCCATATGGAGGCTCATCAGGAAGCCACTAAACAGAAGGCAACTTTGATGTTGTTTCCCATTTTAATAATAATAGTAATAGTAACAGTATACAACTCCCAGTTTTTGTGAGATTTTACATATACAGTGATATATAAAATATTGCATATCCTTCTGAATGTTTGTCATTTATGCTTCAATGACGTGTTCAGACAATGTGGAGTTAGCAATATTGCCATTAGAATTGCCATTTTATTAGGTACACCTGCAACATTCCCGCAGGCCCGGCCCTAACCAATTTGGCGCCCTAGGCAAGATTTCAGGTGGCGCCCCGTTGCATCACAGTAAATTCCACTGCTAGTGTATATACTCATAAGAAACGTAATAGCTTTGTCTTGGACATTCTTTTATTTAAATAAAGCAATTGCACATTCAAAATACTTAGAAAGAATTAAAGAAACAA